GTGGCTGAATCAGCAGCCCTCTACAACCCAGGACCTTATGACTTCCTGTTGAAAATGCCTGGGGTCAATACGAAAAACTATAGGGCTCTTATAAAAAATGCAGACAGCTTGGCAGATTTAGCCAAACTCAGCCAGGACAAACTAGCAGAAATACTCGGGAATGCTAACGGCGCTAAATTGCTCTATGAGTTTCTGCATAATGTCGCGGATGTCCCTGCTCCTGCTCAGAAGGCCAAACTGATGTGATGGGCAGTTAAACATCTGACTTATATAAATGTATTTTCCTATCATTAGGATTAGTTTTGCATTTTAAAGCTGGATGGAAGTGGCGTTGTAGAACAATGGAGACCTTATTTTAGTCAATATGAGTCTTTGCCATTAACAGTGAAATATGTATTATCTATGAATGGACAGAAATAATACAGGTTTTTCTATTGTATTTTGTAAACTACTCTGCAAGTGGAACATTTATTAGATTTTTAAAATAACTTTAAAATAAGAATTGCATTCTGATAAAATAAAAATCCTTAAATATTTTGTTTTGTGTATGCTTTGTTTCAAAATAAAGCTTTCACAAATAACACCATTTTTAAAACCCTAAAGGGTACATGGAGGCGGCTGTGGCTCAGAAGGTAGAGCAGGTTGCCCACTAATCAGAAGATCGGCAGTTCAATCTGTGGCTCCTCCAGGCTCCATGTCGATGTGTTCTTGGGCAAGACACTGAACTGTTCCATTGATGTGTGAATGCGATGTAGTGTAACAACGCTTTGAGTGGTCGGAAGACTAGAAAGGTGCTATACAGAGCATTTACATTAAATTTTATATTTTTTATATTTTACATTATATTTCACCATAATTTGTTTTAAGATTTTAACATCATTGTCTTGCCTTAGAAACGAATTGCAGAGAGAATGGATGGTGATGACTCTGGTCAGTTGTTAGCAATGTTAAGTTTAAAATCAGTCAGTGGGAAGAGACATTAAAGTTTTTAAATCCTCTGCAATCCATTCCATTTATAAGGTTCAAAGTGGAGGAAGGTGGACTTCCTAAGTTCGGGGACTTTGTATTGCTAGTGAGGAGCAGCCTACCTTTGTGTCTTCTTCTTACAGGTCTCTCTCTCGCTCTCTGTCTCAATGACAGAGCACTTTACCCAGATAAAGTTATACACAGATGAGGTTATCTGATTAAACATGAAAGCAGTTTGCTCCTCTTTAGTAATTGATGGATTGATATTGAGCTATTTTTGGGCAGTTGATACTTCTGTCCTTTTGTAACTGTAAATACATTCAAACCTTGACTTGTTTCAGGGTTAATTCAGAATTCAAATCTACCTCTGTCTCTCCTTTTCATCAAACTCCCTTTCTGCTCCCTCATCCATTTAGCTACAGAAATTCAAATATAAAAATGGTCTGCTTAAGGACATGTGTGCTACTTATTACCTTTTATACTATAATATTTTTTTTTCAAATCCTAATAAGAAATAATTTATTGATCACCGAGGGGAAATTCTTGTGTTACAGTTGCACACATTGCACATGATGGCATTAAGAATAGAAATAATAGAAAGAAGGTAGATAAAGAAATATATAAATATAAGGCTATAAATATAAAATATAAAGAAAAATATAAAGGGGTATGGATATGTACAATATTAACATATTAAAGATTTGCAATGGAAAACAGTACGGTGAATAAATAGCAGCAGAATTGCCACCACTGACTCATAAAACATCCTTAGTATCGTCCGGCAGATGTTGAAGGTCCTCAATAGATACAGTGGGGGAAAAAAGTATTTGACCCCTTGCTGATTTTGCAGGTTTGCCCACTTACAAAGAATGCAACAATCTACAATTTTAATCATATGTACATTCTAACAGTGAAAGACAGAATCCCAAAGAAAATTCCAGAAAATCACATCATATGAATTTATAAAAATTGATAACCATCTGATGAGGAAAAACAAGTATATGACCCCCTACCAAACAGTGAGTATTCTGGCTCCTACAAGCCAGTTAGTCTTTCTTTAAGACACAGCCCCAATCCCAACCAATTATCTACATCAAATACACCTGCCTTACCTCGTTACCTGTATAAAAGACACCTGTCAACACCCAAACAACCAGCATCCAACATCACCACCATGGGCAAGAGCAAAGAGCTTTGTTGATCTGCACAAGGCTGGGATGGGCTACAAGAGAATCGGAAAGCAACTTGGAGAGAAAAGATCAACTGTCGGTGCAGTTATCAGGAAATGGAAGAAGCACCACACCACCGCCAACCTCCCTCGGTCTGGGCCTCCACACAAGATCTCGCCTCGTGGGGTGTCCCTGATCATGCGAACGGTGAGGAATCATCCCAAAACCACAAGGGGGAACTGATGAATCAACTGAAGGCAGCTGGGACCACAGTTACAAAAGAAACGGTTGGTAACACACTACGCCGTCATGGATTGAAATCCTGCAGCGCACGCAAGGTCCCCCTGCTCAAGAAGAAACATGTACAGGCCCACATGAAGTTCGCCATTCACCACCTGGACGACTCAGAAGAGGCCTGGAAGAAGGTGATGTGGTCAGATGAGACCAAAATAGAACTTTTTGGCCTCAACTCAACTCGTCGTGTTTGGAGGGAAAAGAACACCGAGTACAACCCAAAGAACACCATCCCCACCGTCAAGCATGGTGGTGGCAACATCATGCTTTGGGGGTGCTTTTCAGCCAAGGGGACGGGACAACTCCATCGTATTGAGGGGAGGATGGACGGGGCCATGTATCGTGGAATTCTGGACCAACATCTCCTTCCCTCAGTGAGAGAGCTGAAGATGGGTCGAGGATGGGTGTTTCAGCACGACAACGACCCTAAGCACACCGCCAAAGCAACAAAAGAGTGGCTGAAGAAGAAGCACATCAAGGTTCTGGAGTGGCCTAGCCAGTCTCCAGACCTGAATCCAATTGAAAATCTTTGGAGGGAGCTTAAAATTCGAGTTGCCAGGCGACAACCTCGGAACCTGAATGATTTGGAGGCTGTCTGCAGGGAGGAGTGGGCCAACATCCCTGCCGAAATGTGCACAAACCTTGTCACCAACTATAAAAACCGTTTGACATCTGTGCCGGCCAATAATGGCTTTTCTACAAAATATTAACATGCTGTTTGTCCAGGGGGTCAAATACTTGTTTTTCCTCATCAGATGGTTATCAATTTTAATAAATTCATATGATGTGATTTTCTGGAATTTTCTTTGGGATTCTGTCTTTCACTGTTAGAATGTACATATGATTAAAATTATAGATCGTTGCATTCTTTGTAAGTGGGCAAACCTGCAAAATCAGCAAGGGGTCAAATACTTATTTCCCCCACTGTAGAAATAGAGACGGCTTTGGCCCTTCCTGTAGAGTGCTTGGGTGTTCTTAGCCCAGTCCAGTTTATTGTCAATGTGCACTCCCAGGTATTTGTAAACCTCCACAATTTCCACACTGACCCCCTGGATGGAAACAGGGGTCACTGGTGCCTTGGCTCTCCTTAGATCCACAACCAGCTCCTTAGTCTTTGTCACATTTAGCTGTAGGTGGTTCTGCTCACACCATGAGACAAAGTCCCCCACAACAGCTCTGTACTCAGCCTCGTCACCCTTGCTGATACATCAAACCACAGCAGAGTCATCAGAAAACTTTTGAAGATGGCACGACTGGTAGTTGAAGTCTGTGGTGTAGATGGTAAAGAGGAAGGGAGAGAGGACCGTCCCCTGCGGGGCCCCAGTGTTACTGACCACACTGTCTGACACACAGTGTTGCAGGCGCACTGTGGTCTGCCAGTCAAGTAGTCAACAGTCCAGGACAGGAGGGGGGGATCCACCTGCATCTCTGTCAGCTTCTCACCCAGCAGGGCCGGCCGGATGGTGTTGAAAGCACTGGAGAAGTAAAAAAACATGACCCTCACAGTGCTCGCTGGCTTGTCCAGGTGGGCGTAGATGCAGTTGATTAGGAAGATGATGGCGTCCTCAGCTCCCAGTCGGGGCTGGTAGGCGAACTGGGGGGTCCAGAAGAGGTCTGACCATGGGCCACAGCTGTCTCTCCAGGGTCTTCATAATGTGGGAGGTCAGTGCCACATGTCTGTAGTCCTTGGAGTCACTGGGACATGGAGTCTTTGGTACAGGCATGAGGCAGGAATTTGCAATTCAACTCTTACCTCTGTGTAATAAACACACACCACCTTGTTTTGCTATCTTTGTGAGGATTGGTACTTTGTTTTTGTTTTTGTTTTTTTACAAATGAAGAAAAAACTATTGCCAATACTGTAGTAGATCCCAGCTTTCTGTGAATGAATGTCAGCTCTTGCAGTTTGGTTCTTAATCCTGGCAATTTATTTCACATTTTTACATTTTCACTTAATACTTTGCAACCTCAGCTCTTTAGGCCAATGTGTTATTTGTCCCAAAGTGATGTGCAATTCAGTTCATCTGTCTGATAGAAATACAAAGAATTTTCAGGAAATTCATGCCACCTTCCAGCTTTTACAGTAGTATTACTGCGAAGATTCAAGATTTTATGGTAATTATTAGGTAATGCAGGTCAGCTTCCGGGTTGTTAAAGCAGTGCAGGGCAATGCAATAAAAACGTTCAGCCTTTTCAGGTAACAAATTTCAACTTCCAGCTTTGACAGTACAATTTAACTTGACGTGTTAATTCTTAGACCCTCTTTAGTTATGCAGTCCAGCTTCCAGGTTGTTAAGCAATTTGAGCTTCAAGACTTTTCAGGAATTTCATTTCAGCTTCATTTTCCAGTTTCGCTGTCCTCTTTGTGGATGTCAAGCTTCACTGGAACAAGTTATGCAACATTACCAGGTCGCATGTCAGAACAAAAAGCAGATGTGGCTGATTTGGAGAAAATTGTGAAATAGGGGATCAGTGGTGCTGTGAGGGAGTTTAGTAGAAATACGAACCAAAAACGTGGCCAGGCTCCCGGGTACTTCATACTCTACCTGACCACCCCCCCCCCTGTCTGCAAGGCTTCCTATCCCACAGCGTCATTACGTCACTCTGCATCCGAACATAGACCAGTCGCAGCCATTTTACTCCGCGAAATAAACTTCAATCTCACAGCTACAGGAAAAAAAACAAACACACACAAGATAGCTCCGCTGGCATTAATGGATATCTCGTTGTGAACCTGGGCTCGGACAGATCCCGCTTTCAAGCCTGTTATTCGGTAAGACTACAGAGCCGGGGCGGCGCTGTCTTGTTTTTAGCATGTTAGCCTGGGTTAGCTAAACCGAGCTAACTAGCGAAACTGTAAGGAGGTTGTTGTTGAGGAGCGTTCGTGAAATGCAGACAGAGAGAGCAGACGAGCCTTGGTAAGACTACACAGCAAAGCTTTTACAACCAGGATTTGACTGTACCTTCTCTCCAGATGTTATTCTAGCTTTAGGAATGGCGGCCACGGAAGCCGATTCATCGTCCTTTATGATTAGCACTGCTTGCAACTCACTCACCTGTCAGATTTAAAGTATCTACACAGCGTTAGCTTATCCCACACCCACCCACCACTGTGATAACACTAGCTGTGGTGGGGCAGACAGCCATGTCAGCAAATAATACTGCCCCAAGAAAATGTACTCTCGCTGTTTAAACTAGCTAGTTGTCACGTTACTATTTGTAAGTGTGGTGTCTGTTTATTCATTCATTTAACATTACTCCTGGAACAGGACGCTCTCCTTCTGCTAGGGTATAACATCCACTTTCATTGTGGGTTGACAGCCCTTTTACTCAAGTAATAGTAGCCACACACGCCATGTAATGATGCCCCCCTCCTTGCACACACCCGATGATGTTATCTTAGTGCCTTCCAATCGATTGAAGTGAGGAAAGTGAGGCAGTTCTGCAGCAAATCCGAACAGGTCGCGGTGTGTGTGAGTCACACAGACAGGCAGGACGTGGTGGTTTCAGAGGCGGCCCCAGGCAAAAGACTGCGCTGAAATGTGTGAATTGTTAGCGTTAACTAAAACACTAAGCATATGGTTGGATGGGAATGTAATCATCAGAAGGCTGTAAGCCAGACATCCCAGTGTGTTTAGCTTATTTCGACCTCTCACTACAGGATTAGTTTGCTGGAAGACTGTCTGCTCACATCACTTCAGACTAGGGTTTCCATGTCTCTGTCCCCGTGGCGAGTTAAATGAAACCGAATATCACAATTTATGCAGACTTCTTTGCACTTTATAGCCTTGGATTTTGTCTGAATTTAGGCACATTTTTAAAATGTTCTAATACCCTACTGAGTTGCAGGAGATATTGGTACTGACACACTGGAGTTTTCCACCCACAGCAAAGCGTGCCACCCTGGGCAGATTCATTTTAATTTCCCAGTAACTACTTTACATATCTAGCCTACGCAGTTCTTCACTGCAGGCCGCACTCTAACTTAGGCTCTTTCACATTAAGGCTGCTGAAGTTTGGCTGAGTAGTTTCTTTTTTGTTTGCCCAGTCATTTTGTACTGTTTTTAAAAGGTCTTTTCAACAAAGGCAGCCAGCCAGGAAGGAGATGACACCACACGTGTCTGTGGGAACAGTGACTCTAGGGAATGAGCCACAGAGATGACATCATTTGTGTTTTATCTCTGGATAAAAGAAGACATTTTTGTTGGACTAGTAGAGTGGTCTATTTAAGGCCCAGAAAACTGCAGACTCAAACTTTAGTTTGGTTCTCATGCTGTATGCTTGTGTGTGTTTAGAATGTTTATGATGTAATTTGTTTGTACAATACAAATCCGACAAAACTGCACATGTAAATAACTACCACATTGCACATAGATTATTTCAGTGTTTCGTCACACACTCTTAGAGAATAGACAATAGACAATTGTCAGTGTTATGTTTATGTCCTTTAACAGAAACCAGACCTCCTCGACTGTTCATGGTTTATTAGCTCTTAGACCAAGGCTGCAGTTTTCCGTTATCGCATGCTGTCAGTTGAATGAATGTGTGTGTGTGTGTGTGAGAGAGAGAGTGAGAGTGCTTGTGGGTACTTAATTACTGGAAAGCTTCACACCCAGGCCTAGGCTATTTGCAGTAAAGTTGACCCATGACCTCTTCTCGTCAGTATGCAGAGAGTGGGAAGTGGGTGGCTTCTCTGTGTTTTGTTACTATTGTGTATCCGTAGTTCTGTGGTTGTAATTATTCCCATTCATTTGAATGGCTCCAGAATGATTTGTTTGCAAACGTCTAGGCCTTTATGAGGGTGAGAGAGAGAAGAAACAGCCTCAGGCTTGCGGACACACCCAGATACTGCCATCATACTGCAAACGTGTTGACTCAGACGATCACGTAGTTGAACTCTGATCCTCTAGTGCTCCAGATAGGAAAACTCAGATGAAACCTGAAGCCAGTTTTTGTTTTCAGTTGATCATATAATCCACCCTGGTTAATTTGGCTTGGCATGAGATGCTAGCAATGCCTTGAGTGTGCAGAAATGGCTTTAAACCACCATTTAATTCAAGTGTGATGAGTAATTGCATTGTTGGTGTCCCATGAATAAAATATCTCATTAAACGGTTCATGTGAGAGTGTGGGGATCGGAAGCTGGCGTTGTTTGTCAATTTGTTGGGGCTTGTGATTGAGTGTTAAGCGGTGGCCACTGACTTTCCACATCTGACCAGTATATGACCAGTACATCAAGCTGGTCAAGCCATCTTTCCATGGCAGTTGCGCTCCACAAACTCTTTGCTAGGTCTTCCTACTGTACTGTGTCGGGGGAAAAAAGGCTCTGCAGAGGATAGTGTGGAGAGCTTTGCGGATCACTGCAGTCTTCCTACCTCCTGTCGAGGATCTTTTAAAGAGCCAGTGCCGGTAAAGGGCAGAGAACATTGTTAAAGACCCATCACACCCGCTCCATAAACTTTTCTAACTGCTGCCATCAGGAAAGCAGCACGGGAGCATCAAAACCAGGACAACAAGACTATTAAATAGCTTTATTCCACAGGCTGTGAGGTTGCTTAATTCATGACATGACTCTATGCACTAAGTTGCATTCTAATCTCACAGCCACATGTTGGGCATTTTTAGTACTGGACACTAGGGCTGGGCAATAAAATAATAATGATGATAATCGCAATATTATTTTCCTCAAGAACAATATAACAAATGTTCAGTAAATGTTCAAAAAATGTTTGATTGAATTCATATAAATCATGAATGAATTAGCACTTAATTTTTCTATTAAGATATTTATTTTGTTGAGAAAAAGGGTATGAAAAAAGATTTTACTTAATTTTACACATGCATGTTTGTTAAAAAAAAGATTTGATCATAATTGTTTTTGAACGTTCTACCTCAAATTTAAGTGATCCACTGTTTGGCTTTAAGTTCTGACCATAAAGAAAAAGTTTCAAAACCACAATTAACTGTCTGGTTTCTTCAACTTTCACTCAGGAGCAAAAATCGGCCTTTAAACTTGTGATATCAAATATTTTATCGTGATACACGCATTTCTGTTGTGTCTAGTAATCCCAGGGAAACGCTAATTCATTCTCCTGTACTACTGTGGTATGTCTGGCAAAATGACAGTAAATCTTGTCTTATTCAAAAATTAACTTTTGTTGCTTCAGACAACTTTTGTTTGTGTTCTCTCCTAACACTGTTGTTTTGTGTCAAGAATAATACTCTGTTCAAATGCCATAAAGGGCTGTTGTTGGTTTCTGATGCTGTTGATAAAGTTTAATCTATGGTGATGACTTCATTCATTTGTCTTATGAATGAATAAGGAAAGACATGTTGCCGGTGAGGAAGCAGACTATGTGCTGACAGCAAAGGGATGGGTACATTTGTTACTGAGTCTGTGTTTGCTAATGTACGATGTTGATGAGCGACTTGCACGTAGTGCTGCTGTAGTGACCCTGCACATCACCTGTGCCAGGTTTTAAATACCAAACACACCCAGTGGCAAAAAAAGACAGCACTTCCTGGTTGCAGAATAATAAAGCTCTGACCTATACAAACCTTTTTATAGCCGTGAGTGGTCATTCATTGTTGAAACCTGAAAGTAATACTGATACTTGAGCATAAACATGAGTAGCAGATGCTCAATCTCTTTCTGTACTGTTGACCCCACCTTTGACTCTAGTACTGTGTTTACTTGTATGTAGGGCTGCAGCTAACGATGATTTTAGTACTCGAAGCTTCTACAGATTATTTCATCAATTCATCGATGATGAGATCAGCTGTGTAAGTTAACTCTTGACTGTGACGTTACAACCCAAACTCACGGCCCAACCAGGCGGAGAACAACAAACGCACGGGTGTACATTTACAGCTGAGGATTGCGGCTTACTTTTGCTAGCCTTCAACTCATGATTCAAATCATGATTTCAGTTAAATGCTAAAGTTACTGTTACCTTGTCTGTGGTCTGCTGGCATAACACCGGGTTCTTTCTGATCAGGTGCCGTCGTGCTGTGCGGTAGGATACGAAGTTTAATTTTACGGTGGGCAGACTGACATCACAGAGTTGCTGTTTTGTTTTAGCTTGAAATAATCCATACTTTGGACACTTTCTTCTTAGTCCCTCGCTATTTTCTCTCTCTTCTTCCACTTTGCAAACTCTTAATCACGTCGTGTTCACACAGGTAAGTGCGATAGTAATAAAAGTCCGTTATGTGGATTAAATGAATCGAATTAATCGATGAATGGTTTCAGCCCTACTTGTATTTAGAGTATGTCTGCATTGCCCTCTGATGAAACACATGGTACTTGTTGTCCCTTGCCATTAAAAGAGTCCAGGACAGAGCAACACGCTGTGCCTGCCATCTGGATCTGCTCTTTGATTCAGATGGGGCAACTTCGATGTTTATCCCACAACGCCCCGTCAGCCGTGGCAGTCGTTTCTTCCTTCTTCTCTCTTTCATAGCCTCCTTTCTCTCATTCGCTTGTTCACCCACCCTTGTTTCTCCCTTTCACACACAGAGTGTAGTGCTCCAACCGTTGGAATCCTGTCGTCACGCCTTTTCTCCATCCTTTCTTCTCTCTCTATCTTAATTTGCGCTTTTTTTGTGCCAGTGTGTGATTATTTTTTCTGCTGCAAACCTGCAACGACTCAGCATTTACAAATACAACTTCAGAAAGTCAATGGCAAAAATATCTCCAGAAATCTGCACATCTACATGCAAAAAGAAAAATGAGGTTGATGCTGTAATCAGGGTGGAACCTAAACAAACAGTGACTAATTGACAAGTGTCGTACAAGATCATTATCAGCCCAGAGTGTCATTGATAAATCAATCAAACGTTAATCTAGTGATATATTTTGATTGGTTAGTCCCAGAGCCTCTCTCTCAGTTTGCAGTGTGATGCTACATTACAGCTCTTTAGTCATCAGTACCGAGCATTTCTATTGTCTCTGCACGGAGGGTTCACTTCCAGTGTCATACAGACCACTCCAGGTTTTCCTAGCAGCTTGTGAACATTCATTTTCAGGCCTTGATGCAGCCTTGAGTGTCGGCTAGTTTCATTCAGACATCTTTAAGTGGTACTTGTCATCTGTTTTGTTCTCTACTTATCTTCAAACACTCCTATTCAAGCAACATCAGTGTTATTTTTTTTGGAGGTTAATTTTTAATATTATAATTATAATATTTTTTAATATTGCATTTGTTTCTTGTAGTTAGTCCTTTCCGTAAGTCTTGATGCCATGTAAGAAAATATCACTGTTTCACTGTGTTTTGGGTTTGTTTTTTAATCTTCCATTTTGTAAAATAGTAGAGCTTTTTAAGGTTTATCTTTAGAAAATGTATTTTGAATTTCTAGTGACAAAAGTTACTTTTTTGGGGAGAGAGACACCATTTAGACAACATGGCTGGTGACAGAAAAGAGTGCTACCTACAGAAACTCACTTTAAAAAAAGAAAATCAACACAATAGACTAGGCACTATTGGGTGTGCAGGGTAGTGTTAGAGGCCAGAGCTTAGATTGATCCATTTGTGATATTCATGTTGCTCCATTTCTCTCCCTTACAGGTTTGAATCCATGGCTTAGCGTAACCAAGAAACTAGCTGGACTTGTCTTTCCTCTTTCCCTAACTGTCCTCTGCTACTACAGGTAGGGATGAACTTATCAATTGAAAGGGGTACTATTATTGCCTTTGTGTAGTCGGGGTAGCCTCTCAGCCATGTGTAGGCAAGCACACAAACACATTTTAGCTTTTTTTTGATTATCACTCTTCTTCTGTATTTGTGTACTTCTTTGTGAACCATTGGGTGACACCAGTATTGACACACTTTCAGAATCTGCAAATGTGACTAAAGCGTGGATCAGTTTATCCTTTCAAATTAAACACCAAAGTGAGGGACTTTCTCTTTTATTAGATCCCAATCAAAATGGGGACCATTAACCTACCTCATTTAGCTAAGAAAATTAGTTCTCCATTAAGGGCCAGATACTTAAAATGTGAATTAAGTGCTACTTATCTTTATGTCGAAGTTTAAGCCCTTTTGATAGAAAACCTGAGGGAAAGGAAGATTATTCTGCAGCAAAGAGTGAAATCCAGAACCTGACTGCTCTCACTGAAAGAGCACCTGAGAGAGATGACTAGCACATGACCAGGGTCAATGCATGTAGAGCGCATTTTCTAACAGCTTTGACAGAGCCCAAAACATTCAAAGCAAATCACCTCACAGCACAGGATGCACTATTTGATTGTGATCTGTAGGAAGTACTTATATGCTACAGAGCACAGGCTGGTAAATCACTAAAGATGCTATACAGCAGCCCGTTCACAGAAAACCTCTGAGGTTAAACTGTTGAACATCAAAGTCTGACATGCATCTGGAGCGTGGCGCTTTAGTGGCACTCAATCATCATTAAGAAGCCAGAAAGTGGCTACGGGTCAGAAGCCAAGTTTTAGTGAGTGGGGTAATTTTGCAGTGGTCGCCAGATTCACCATGCGCCAATTCATATTGGCGGTAAGTGCCAAGTGAACTGGGATTGACTTCCACGTTAATACGTGGTGTCTGATTTGTGTGAAAATAGCAGGGAAATACTAAATATGACTAGAAGGTTTTAGCTTTTAGTTTTGGTCAATTCAGCACCTTTTTGACTTCTTCTTTTTTTAAGATGTCACAAGGAGCTGTTGTTTTTTTTGTGGTTGCTTAACTTTTTATGACATTTATGTATTTAGTATTTTCATAACAAGCGCAAGGTTTTGACCTTTGTATAACGACTTCATGTATAACGTGTACGTTCAGCTAGGGCTAACTATTTGCAGTTTTCAAAAAATTAATTTGGATGAATTAAAACGCAGTTGAAAATTTCAAATATATTCTTGTAAAAATACCATTTGCATTGCAAGGACTGTATTTTAACGGTTTGGGATTTTTCTCATAGTCTAAGGAAGTTTTTCAACCTACTTTCTGTTACTAGAGGCATATTGTGGACCACGTTTAGTGTAAAAGAGCAAAACATACGGATGAATATCTGTTTAAATTTGTCAGTAAAAATCCGTAAAGCAGAAAAATAATATTGCAGACATCTTGTGTGTGTGTCTGTGAAAATATATTTTACTTGAGACACGCATTTATTGTAGATTATTATACAGTATTTAAAAGCAGAACAAGAGATAGTCTTTAGGATTTGTTGGGTTTGGACGGTCAGACGTGTTGAAACCAAATGTCCCACAGAGTCTCCTTGGGCCGTCTAATGCCTTTGGCACTTTAAAGGCCTACAGGGAGAAGTAGAAGCAGCCATGGGAACACAGTTGTGCTTAGCCAAAAGCAACACATCAGGATGGTTAGTAAAGAGCGCTTAGGTCCTGGTATGGATGTGGGTGCTGCTGGAGAGCGATAAATAGCATAGATGTTCAGACCGAGCATTCTGTCATCTGCTGGTTCAGAGACTGCCGGGAAGCCATGGATACTAAACTGTTTGTTTTGCTCCCCGAAATGTTTCCGTTCCCTCTTGTATGAAACCGCCACAGCGACGTCATATTCCAGATTATGAAGCCTTTCTGAACAGAGAGAACATTCATGCACAAGCTGCAGTTGTTTCTCATGAGCAGTGGTTTGAAGTGATTATTCGGCGTAATGGCCGCCCCAGCTCGTTTAACGAATAATTTGGGCTGCCACTGAGCTCTTCCAGATGGCTGAAATGAAATGCCGCCCTTAGCATTTCACCAGTTGGGTGAAATAGTCATACCAACAGGATGATGATTATTATTCTGACATTACTGGTGTTCATGAGGAGCCCACAAAATACCCTTGGGTGATGTATTCCTCCTGTTGAGTTCTTCAGTGAGAGGATTAAACCAGTTACCAGATTTCCCTCTTAGCTCCTCATTCTGTCTTCTTGTTTCTTGTCTCCACACAGGTAGCGGCAAGACATATCCAAAGGGACGGTGACCCAAATCCCTGTTGCTTGCCTGGGACCCTCCCCAATTGCCTCTTGAGGCAGGATGGAGCCCCAGGCTTCTCAGGGCCAGCTAGGAGCAGAGGGGGACTGTGGGATGTTGAGTCTGCTGCTGCCCAGCCCCCAGAGCGAGGCGGTGACCCATGAGATGGAGGAGCTGTCGCTGCAGCCCACACAGAAACTGCCTCCGCTCAATGAACGCAAAAATGGTGAGGACATGCTGCCGTACAAGCCTGTCGAGGCACGCTAGGACAGAATATACATTAAACAGGCCACCATGATGAAAAAGAGATATATATATTTTCACTTTTTCCTTCTGCACAAAAAATAAAGATGGACAGGACGACTGATTGACACTGTAAAAAGGCAGAAAAAAAATAGTGAGGAAGAAAGTATAAGATGGTTATTCATGATTTGTTAAGAAATAAAGTAAAATAAAATTACCTATAACCTAAATAACATGTTATGAAAGTAATAGTCAGTCAGTATCATTCCATATCACAAAGACGATGACATATGAAGTTGCAGCGTCTTATGTTGGCTCTGCTTTCAAATGTCCCCACATACCTTTAGAGAGTGGTTATTTAAGTCTCACAGATTGAGCTACAAATTATGTCCCGCTTCTAATTTATCTGAATGATCACTTGGCACAAAATTATATCATTGATTGTCGGAGTTGCTCTCATCAAAACCTTCGGATATCAAGGAATGTGCCTCAGAATAACACTAATAATCAAAGGGACTTGAGGGTATTACCAAATTAATTAGACATTATAAAATGGTCCGGGGTACCTGAAGACCCAAGGAATGCATAAAGAGGGTTAAAATGTGGAGCAGCGGTCTCCCTAAATAAAATCTGCATAAATCAAACACAAGCTTAACAGCTAATATACAGTATGAACTAGAATTAGCATCAATGCCTTTGTTCTCTTCCTTCATGGGGCACGTATGGTCGCCATATTTAGCCTTAAATACTCTTCATGCACACAGGCACGTACTCGTCGAATCAACTAATACGTTTAAAAACAGGCCATAAAAGTGAGTCCTCGACCTCTGAAACTTCCATCAGCTTCTCTTTTGTGCGAGGAAACGATCTTCATCATGCGAGCCAGCCTGCAATTTTTGCTCCTCGTCACCTTCACGATGTTGGTGTTATTTTGGCAGCCGCATGGGACTGACTCAGACACTGATGGATGGGTCTGCGATTACCAGGCTTAAGAGAGGGTTAGATTCACTGGTGCCTTTGCCAGATCCTAATCATGGCTTAGATGGCGTCGGGAGATCAGCGCAATCACTTCAATATTGATCACCGTGCTCAGAAAAAAAATCTTCATTTGTCAGATACAGTCAACAAATGCAGAGTGTTCAGCCAGAGCTGTTCCAGGCTGGATTAACCATGTTTTGGATAATTGTAGGATTTTGTGCTGCCGTGCGCCTGGGTTCTGCCGTAGTCTGCAGGAGAGTGCAGTAAAATGTCTTTGACGGTGGAAACTTTCTGTGGAATGTCAACAGTAGTAGCGCCCCCTCATCATCTCAGCTTTTGTCATTTCCCCTCCAGTAAGAACAAACACCTCATACTTTCCACCCTCTAAGCTATCCCCTTCCAACCACAGAGTCTGCCCCCCCCAAAATATTGGTTTTAGCATGCAGGTGTGAGCCCAGAGAATCTGGAGGGTGAGAGGAGGAGAACTGGAGTGCTCCTCTGTCAGCAGAGCGGGACGTCGAATCTCAGTGCTGAGTTTGTTGTGACAGGGAAAGACAGTCTGGCCAGTGAATGGTAGCCTATGATGTGAAATCAATAAGGGTATTAATAACAACAATGTCTGCCACCAGGAATAAAGTATAGGTACAGGCATGCAAGTAGAATCAAAGGTTTATGCAAAGAGTGAGTGACTTCATCTTGATCAATGAATGACACATGAAACCTTTGCAGACAGTTGTTTACTGTCATGTTCAATGTCATTCACTGTTTACTCTCCAAATGATAATCAGCTGCTTTCCAAAGCTGGAAGCAAACTTACCTCCACAGAATTTTAAGAGGTTTAAAAATCGTGAATATTGCCTGTAAATAACTCTCTATAGAGTCTAGTCTAATTGTTTGTTGAGGAGCTGCTTTGTCTATAGTACAGGAAGTCCATCACAGCTGCACTGATGCGTTTGAATTATTTTTGGAATTCAGTCTTTTAGTCAGAAGTTCAAAAATATACCAGAGTCACGGGTGGGAGCACACGCCCTCCCTTGTTGCACCTATATGGTTTTAGCCATCTCAAAGTGTTTCTTTTGCAACTCAAAAAACGTCTTCATTAGACCGTCTTGCACATATACGCACATGGCTGATTGACTGTGAGGTCCCTGGTTGTCTTTGCATTACTATTATTAGTAGGGCTGAGCACGTTAACGTGTTATTATCGCGTTAAAGACAGGGTAGGCAATTTGCTTCTAAAACACTTTTTGTCATATTTGTTGAAACTGAAAAAAGAGTATAAAAGTATCGGCTGTCTGTAGTCCTCTCAGGGCTGCAGTAAACACGGCCAATCGTGTCATTCGGACCGAATGCAATGATTGGCTGGGTGGCTGTCACTCTCCCTCGCTGCCATGGCTACCAGCCGTGCTGCTACAGGAGCTCCCCCCGTGCGCGCACCCGGTCAGGTCGCTCAGACGTGACGAGCGAAGCGGTTAGACCGGTGGGTGATACCTGGATGGCTTTTCAACGATAGCGACAATTGAGGAACACCAAGGGGCTGACACAGCGTGGTGGCTTTATTTCTGCTGGACAGGTAATCTGGCTTTTATCATTTTGATGGTGGTTTGTTACTTTCATCGCTAGCAAAGGTAACGTTAGCTACCTGCGCATACAGCTAACGGTAACTACCTACTTAGCATACAGCTAACTGTTGCTACGAGTGCAGGCTGGTGTAGCAGTCAGAGTAGAGACGATGAATTATATCTAGCTGTAGGTGAGCTGGAAAACAGCAGCGCGAGCTGTGTTTTCCGACGCTAACATTAGGTAAGACAATGTGTAGACTGCGCCGGTTTAGTTATTCACCATGTAGGTTTATTGTTATACTATGTTTACACCTAACTTCACGTTATCTTTACCTTGTATCTAATCTGTTTGTGATTATCTTGTGTCTGCAGTTGATGTTTGACTGTATGTTACTTTTACAAATGTGGTGATGTAGCTGTGTGTTTGTAGACATGTCAACGATGGCTAAGCGTGTGTGCTTCTGGTATATAAGCTACCTATAATATAGTTTGACATTGTTCGTAGCTAAACCTACTGTGTGAAAACCTTTTACTGTAACTGGGGCTGTTATGCCATTACTTATTTTACCAAAAGTAAAAATTCCTGTATGTTTTATTTCTACTGTGACCTCAGGTCACCTGCAGATTTGGAGTCTTCCAACACCCTGTGCTTCTCACCAGTATACGCTGATCGGACCATGCTGGCTGGCCTGGATTACAACCACCATGTCCACAGTCCAGCCAGGAGAAAAGCTGATGACACAGTTCAGTATGTTGCATTATGAGTACTCTTGTGCATTTTACTCAATACATTTATAAGTGATCAAAAAATATTAAACAGTGTGAGGAATACAGATAAATGGTGCTGACTTATTGTTTTGATTGCATTTTATGTGGAAATGCTAACTACTGTATAAGAGAATAATGTCAGGTATTACAAACTTTTCACCAAGCTGATCATCCTTTCTGTATTATCAGGTACAGCAAGGTGTACAACAAAAAGTCCAGGAAGTGTATTGAAGGTGGAGAATGACTACAGTTACATTGCAGACCTCCAGAGTGCCGTCCTCCTCCTCCTCTGACGGTTGTCTACTACTGAGGAGATGCCTAGAAGCAGAACCAGGAGACCTGATGATCCCCGTCAACATGGGGTTCAGTCGGGTGTCCCTGCCCCAACTGTGGTGCTAGATGCAGCAAATTATAAAACAAAAATATGGTTGGTTTTGAAATGTGGTAATCATGTCAGAGAGTTGATTGTGATATATTTAATCATCTCCACAGCAGCGATATAATGCTACATGCAAAATCTGAACTGTCTCCATAATCAGTCAGCACACCTCTGGACACACCTTGTCTTTCTTCCTGTATATACTTATTTTTAATGATGTTTTAAAAATTATCTATTTGTGATAAAGGTTGTAGTTTTAGTAGTATTTTAATAACAATAAACAAGTGTTATACCACATTTCGATGTCATTATTGGAGACATAAGACAAATGTAGTTGCTTGATTGTTAATGCTGCAAGGGTAATGAAAAGGCATTTATCATTTTCAGTGTTTTATTTAAAAAAGAATGAAAATATTCTCCAGAACAGGGAAAAATATACTTTGTATTTTCTCTACCCTCCTGGGAATAAAACAAAAACAATGTACAGGTTTTCATCCACACAGTGGATGGAATTATTTGTGTAGCACTGTGTCAGTTAGTGACATTACATCTTACACCCTGCTAGGATTAAACCTCTGTATTGTCCTGGTGGATCAGGAGAATAGTTGTGTATCTTCCATAAACAGAAACTCAGTATCACGACTCTGTCTAAGTGCTCCACATTGCCACACTACCAACTATCTGTATGCTGCCTGACTGAACTGTCTGTTACTCTGTCCTGGGTCTGGAAGGTCAGCCATGTGTGGTGCATGGAAACACTGTAGTCTGGATGTTGTCCACAGTCCTCAGATTCTGGCCTGTAAAGGAATATATAGTTGTTAGAACCCCAAATTGGAAAGATCTGTGTAATAGGACAGAACATTCATCAACATGATCAGATATTTTTATTGAACAGGGGTTTGTTGTTCTCTAACAGGACTTCTGTGTCTACATTACACACCAGGTCAATGTACATGACACAGATGAGCCGATGGCTGAAGCAGAGCTGTAGTTAGTTGTTGTAATCAGTAAACAATAACAAAAAAGTAATAACAATAGTGATGGATTACATTTATATAGCACTTTATTGTTGACACCAAAAGGGCTTAGGGGGAAACACCAGAGAAACTTTGAGACAAGTACACTGGGAGACAGTAGACTAATATTAAAATATATATACCTGTTCATATGCCGTTGTTGGAGTGTGAAGCTCGACGCAGGTATGTGCTGCTCGGCTTGCACCTCGTCCTCCCCGTCCTGCCTCTTCTTCCTCGGACCCCGGCAGCCCTCCCTCCTCTGCTTCGGTCCTGTCCCGGT